TGCTAGCCGGTTGAATAATTAGATTAGGAAGATCAATTGTGAGGCGAGACCTTCACTTTTGAACCCAATGGAAGAAGGAAATAATCTGATTCAGTTTGAGTTCACTTTGCTCACTTTTCTCACCCTTTCCAGTTCTGAATTGAATATTTTCATGAAGAGCAACACACTATGCCCAGAAAGAAGGTCAATCGTTGTGTAATCCCTATTACCTGTCGGCTAGTCCACTTGTTCGTCATTCGCAATTTGGAGCAGATTGGAGAGGGGAGGCTTTTTCGGCTTCCCTCTCTTCTCCCATTAGCCACAATCCTCCTCCCGAATAGCCATCGTAAATCACGACCACTATTTTCTGATCACTCCTACAATCTTAAAAAGCAAACTTCCATCAGGGAAAACCAGTTACAACCCCTCCTTGTCTTGGATATGATTTCGTAGCAAACACTTGACCCTGTTCCCATGCGCTTTGAACGATCGATAGTGGTGTTCTCTCGGTTGTCTTAAAATCATTCATCGAACTTATCACTGGCTGTCCATTTGCTGCTATTATCAAAACAGGCTCTCGGTGACGCGTTTGATAAGGCTGTTCGTTTTTGTCCGTTTGGTTTCTTCATCTCGGTCTTGGGTATAATTTGTCACAGAATTCGTATGCAGTCCGATCAAGTCTAGCCGTAGGTGTTACTTTGATTTTCCGCTCCAATTCAAAGGTCACATGTACTGTATACCGACCTCTTTAATTCGTTATATGATGATAGTTGCGGCGGATAAGGGCAGACTGCGGTCCTCAGGGGATATTATCAGTTTTTGTACGTCTGGCTTTCCTTCTTCGGAAGTGATTTTAGCAGTATCGGATTTCGGAGAATCGCTATTCTCCACTTCTCTTCATTATCATCATACTCTCCCTTGGAGATTGCTTGAGCACCTTACGAATGGCATCGCTTAAAAGTCCCTTTGGAGCTAAGAGAACACACCTCCATCGGAAGTACGCTTTTTCGATTCTTTTCAGATTATATTTGTCAGCAGAGTCTTACAGGATTAGGAGGATCGCATAGTTAATGTGTTATTCTATTCTGATGCTGCTTATTGACCCAGCGCTGCACGGAATAGCTAATTATGCGTTTCCCACTTTCCTTTAACAATGGCTGTTTAACGATTTTTAATGGCTCTCACTTATGCACGTACCAAAATCAAGCTCGAAGTTTTGGTCTTAAGCTTTCTTTTTTGTCCAGAAAACATTTAATAAGAGACAAGCCACCCATTTTTGGAAATTTTCCCGATTAGGAGTCGATGGTGTTTATTGCATTAGCACGTTAATTACTACGAGATGGTGGGGTGAGTTGTTTGTACACATTGAAGCGGGTGTCGGTATGCGTCACGAGCATATGGACGTGTCATGAATGATAGCACTCTGTGGTATAACAAAAAATGCTCTCCGAACGATCGTCGGAACTCTAACGGTCTCTTTTCAAAGGAAGGAGATCTCATGATACGGGATAGGTAGATTTGGTTCCAACTGAAAGGTCTAGGGTTCACTTGCGAAGCCCTCATTAAGAAAGTTATGTCTGAGCCGTGAAATGCACTCTAAAGCGAGGGAGGAGGGGAAGGGATCAGCACATCTGTGCGGTTGATGCTGTGGATGAAGCCTTTTAAGTCAGTCGGTCTGCGTCCTTTTTGACAAAGCCACTTCAAATGTCGAGCCCGTTTTCAGGGTAGCTATTCGATTAAGTTCGGATGGAGATTTCTGTTCAGCGGCAGGCGTTTACTTCTTGCTGAAAAGAGTTTCTCTGAAGCACTGTCCAATAGTTTCCTTTGTCGGAAATTGGCTTTTATTTTCGTAGCACACCCTCAATCGGATTATTGATCCCGACAAAAGGACAGTGGATACCGTAGTACCTCAATTTTGTTTAATTCCATCCACCTAGTTAGACGATTTGTCTTTCTCCATAACCCTGCGCTATAGGCTCATTAAGTAATCACTTTTTTCATTCTGTCTATTTTGAACAACCCACAGGTAATTCTATTGTGGCCTGAAATTGGAGCCGATAGCCGCTCTTTATGAGATGAGTGAAATGGGTTATAAATAGTACATGGTTGTCAAATTCAAAGGACCTTTTTGTGAAGTGGGACTGATGGGATTTCGAGGAAAGGGCCTGAAAAGCTTCCATTAGGGAAGCTCTAAATGATCATAGTAGCCGTTGTATATCCAGTGGTGGTTTTAGAGTCAGAAGATGGGAGATCGATAGAGAAGAGGGGTCAATTGTAATTGCTGTGAGAGAGCTCAAGTGTATGGTGAACCCAAGTTGGGATAGCTGTCGACTGCTGGAATTTGAATAGAGCCCGGAATAAACGAAGTCAATTAGTCGGATAAATGACAATCAAAGTTTGGATAAGTGAGCTTTTCGAGGCCCACTGGTCCCAAAAAATGACTTTTGAGAAAATGAAAACCCTTGATTCCTACGGAACCATGGTCAAGCATTTCGGAGCAGCGGCTATAGTGGAAGCTGGACTGAAGCTAGTTGAGTTACCTTTTTTTCTGTGCACGCCTACGGCGACATTCATCCATGCAAATAGCAAGCCATAATGTGCCAGGCACAGCTCCCATGCACTCTATTTTACGGCAATTTTTTGCGTACACTTTCCGGTGGATATCGAGATTGGGTACTCTTCCCGCTTTTGAGTATATCAAAATGGTTAGGTGATTCAACTATAAACTGAATGAAGACGTTATGAGCTGGACCTCGAGCAAGAAATAGCTTTTCTTAGTCTGCAAGTTTGCTCACCTTCAGAAACGTTATTTACTTTTCCAACTTGTTTTGTGAGATGAAAGCTTTGGGAGTCCCTCCTTCATTCCACAAGGCTCCTAGTTTCCGATTGTTCCCGTCGTTGAGAGGTGTTTTTTCTCTGTCTTTACGTGATTGCAATTTGCTTCGCTCTGCCCTTTCATAGGTCCTCTGCGTATCTTCCTGTTTCCTATGTCGAAAGTACTTCCACTGAGTGCAGTCTTTCTCAGATTCAGTCAAATGTGGGATTGGACTTTCCTGAGGTGTAATGGTTAATCATGTTGACAGGAACCAGTATCCCTAAATAAAAGCTTGCCCTGTCCTAGAAATGGATTCTAATTCCAGTTCCCGGAGCTTAGCGCGGACAGCAAAAGGGAGGTCGTATTTCATGGTCAAGTTTTTCCGATGCCATTTATCCTTCAGCGTCACGTCGGTGTCTGAGCGCTCTGTGGTCACCCAGTGATCGATTCACGTGATATTTTGGCAAAGAAACGACAGATTGCCTGGGACTGCCCAGTTTGTGCGAAGTTCTGTGTAGGGCCATGTCATTCTTTTCCCGCCACCCTTCTCTGAATGTATTTGTTAAGGGCGGTTGACGAGAGCATATCGATGGGCGCGTGGCGTGTGGTCTGTTTAAGGAGGCGTGGCCCGCGGAATTCGATTGCATTCAGGACGTTCCCAAGCTAATGCGTGGGTGTTTTTCGGCGTCAACGCATCTGGTTATAGTAATAGTCGCGGTAATGCATGAGATTACGTCAGATTAGTGAGTGGACAGGGTATTCCCTTGATGGACCATTAAGCAGCGTGTCAGTGTAGTTTCATTGTAGCCAATATAGCCAAATCCTTTATGCTTGATGATATCGATTGCTAAAGTGCAATTCTTATAGTTATATATGTATGTGTTGAATGCCAAAACCTTGTTTTGTGCCCTTTGTTGAGAATCCAGAACAAGGGTACGGTAGTAGGTGGTGCTATGTTGACTCACAGCTGTTCACATCATTGCTTTTTCGTAGTGTGTGTCGAATAATGACATACTTTTGTATTATTTTCTTCCTCTGATTTTCCTTGATTTTCGGCCGTTTGTGATTTTTAGACTTTGGGAATAATGGGGAACCAAACTTCCCATTCAGATATCACCAGTCCGTACCTTTTCATAGTGCTGATCGTTAGGGTTGGGTTATTCTTCGAGGAATCCTGAAGGAAACAGCATGTGATCTGGTTCAGGTCTGAGCCATTTGGCAGATGGCTTGGTGATTGGGGTCATTAAAGATTTATGGCGTTCGTTGGACTTTCTTAATGCGTCTGTTTGTTATTCATGAAGTTGACGACGGGAGCTGATCTCTTTTTTTTTCGGCTGATCCAGAGAGCTTAATGTGAAATGGCGATAAGGCCGAGGTCAAAGGTTGGACTGATAGTTAGGTAGAGATAAGAAGAATCCCGGAAATGGTTCTCAATTGCATCTCAGAGTTCTCAGCAGGATCAGTAAGAGTGCAACGGATCACTGAAATCCTATCCACCGAGGGTCTTCGCAGTTAGAGTAAACAGGATTGAACTCTCTTCCCCAGAGTAAACTAGAGTGCATCTTTCGAACGGGGGTCATCACCGCGCCTGTAATAATGACCAAAATGAAGGATTGCCGTAGACGTCCTTGCATTGATCATGGAGTGTTGCCTAATCGATTGTTTTCAATCTAAAGAGCGTC